GGGCCTAGTCAAGCTGTTGTATATTTTGGAGTGACATAATTCAACCTATGGCAGAGTTGTACCAAATGCTGTGTGACCTTCAGCGACCTAGGTATACATTAAGCTACATCTTCTGCTCTACTTTCTCCTTCCATCCATATTCCCTTATTCTTCATTCCAATCAACCTCCCTATCCCTATCCCATCTCCACTCTGTTATCTTCTAATATACAAAGTTAGTACATTCATTTTCTACTGGCTTTTTGCAATCAAGAACTTTCTCTGTCTAAAGCACAACTATAGGTCTCTCCCCATCTGGAGTAAAGAACAGTGAAGAATAAGTAAGACTATTGGGCTGAAGGACTAATGTTGTTGTTGCAGCTGCTAGGTGTCATGGAGTTAAGTGCAACTTATTGCGACCCTATGAACAACAGATCTAAACCCCATCCTATGCTGTAAAATCTTCACACACTAGAGCCCACTGTGGCAGTCACTGTGTCAATACACCTGGTCAAGGATCTTTCTCTTTTTTGCTGACCCTCCACCCTGCCAAGCATCATGTCCCTCTCCAAGCAATAGCCCCTCTTGGCAACATGCTGGAAGGACATGAAGCAAAGCCTCAATATTCTTACCTCCAAAGAGAACTCCAGCTTCCCCCTTTCAAAGACATGTTTGTTTGTTTGTTTGTTTGTTTGTTTGTTTGTTTGGAAGTCCATGGGATGTTTAGCATTCTTCTCTAACAATTCAGCTCAAAGACATCAATTCTTCTTCTGTCATCCCTATTCATTGGCTAGCTCTCAGACACATAGCAAGTGAACAGAAAGACCATAGCTTGAGTCAGATACACTTTACTCCCCAAACTGACATCACAGAGTAACCGACTATAGGAATCCAGTCTCCATTACTCTGAGGCATGAAGAATTACAAGAGTTCCTGGTTACCACAGTAGAACGCTTTGAAAATAATCACATAGTAATCACATAGATAGAAATGTGGAATGAAAATAAAATTATTTTTAAAATATTATTGGTATGATTGATACTCATGCAACCCCCAAAACTATGGCTCTTGGTCATTCTTCAAGCTTGGAACTGAAATAATCTTCATGACTCAACTTCAAGTTAAATAACAGATAAGCATATACTGTTATCAATAACATTAGGAAGTCACACACTCTTTAGCACAATCAACCATATAAGGTCAAACGTTAAGCATTTAGCCAGGGATAAAACTCAGAAGGTAGAAAGGGATAGGAAAAAAAATAAAATATTTAGCATGAAGAACTTCAATGATAAGCATACAGATCTAACCTATCTGTCCATCCTATCTCCCTGATTTCACTTGCAAATCAGGGCCATCATGGTTAAGGATATTCCAGTGGAAAACCATGTCTTCCACATCAGACTAGAGACTTCATTCTGATATGGACCATGTTTTCCTTATATCATACTTGAGTTAGAGTTAGCGGTAAAGTGACAGCTCTCCACCAGATAATAAATTCCCAAAGGTAAGTTCAAATCTCCACTCTATATTAAGGATTTCATAAAGTCAGAAACAACACCTTCTTCATACTATAGAGAACTCCTCAATATCAATAACTTTCCCTCCTCTACCCTAGATATCAAATGATCTAGGACTTCCCCCTCTTTGTCTACCCTTCAACCACAGGCAAGAGCTATGGTCATAAGAAGGGATTATTTTCCCTAAAGTAGACACACAGAAAAATGGTGTGGAAGATTCAGAGGGCACAGTTGGGGCTCTAAGCCTCTCTCAACATGCCCAAGCTTACTTTTCTCCATCTTGGGGCACACAAAAGCTCGCATATCCCACTATCTTTCCCAGCTCCTGCTAGCAACTCAAGGCAGTAAGTGAAGATGTCAGCACCTTGGACAGCACCCAGCCCATTACAGGACTCTGAGCCAGCGGAAGCCAAGCAAGCCAAGCTCTCCAACTCCCTCGGCCTCGGGGTGATGGATTTCCTCGTTCCTCAATTTGATTAAAGCTCAATAGATAACCAGAGCGCCTTGTTCCTTTCTCTTCTCCTTTCCTGATGAACATAATTAACTCCGTCAGGCTGGGAATGTTTGGCCTTAATACAGCTTGCCCAGCCCCCATCCAGGCATGAATCAGTAACCCAGCTGGAATGCTTGGAGGACTCAAGGGCCTTCCTGAGGATTGGAGTTGGGAGAGGAATCACTTCCAGAGGCATATAAGGATTTTGAAATGGTCCAAAACGTGGTGTTTGGGTTAAAAAACCCCCTCTGTCCTGAAATTGAGAGTTTAGTCCTGGCTTTCTTTCTACTCACTCCTCATGTTATTGAGAGAAAGTCATGTGCTCTTTCTGAACCCATTTTTTCATCTGTAAATTGAGAAATGAGGGGGTTTTACGAGACCTGCATTCTCCTCAAATGTTGTGTTGTGTTCATTGTTAAAATTTTAGGAAGAGACTTTTTAAACAAAAGGGAAAGAGACTTGCTCAATGTCACCCAGGAACCTCATGGCAAAGCTGGCTTTGAACCTATGCCCATGGCTTTTACTCCAGTATAACTGCCAACTCAAAGGCAAGTGGTTCAAATCCATCAGCTGCTCTGTAAGGAAAGAGATAAGCAAATCTCCCCTCCTGTGAGATTTTAGCCTCTGAAAACCCACTAACGGGTAAGTTATGAGTCAGTTCTGACTCAATTGTACATAACAACATTAGCTACAATTTCTCTTGCATTGAATTTCCTCTTTGGCCCCCATCACAGACTTTCTTGCCTACAGGTGAAACTGAGAAAGCTGAAGTAAAAAAGTATGGGGTTAATAATTGGTTTAAATTAAAAGAAAATAATTGTAAGATATGTGTAACTCTCTGCTTTTTTCATTGTAAGGAATCAAGCGTAATAGAAAGAATCAAAAGATAAATAAGGATCACCTAATAAAAATAGCAGTTTCTATTGATGGAATATTAATTGGCATGTTTTAACAAACAGATGCAGCCCTGGATATGCTCCAAAATCTATGCCAAGAAATCTGGAAGACAGCTACCTAGATAATGAACTGGAAGACATCTCTATTTATTCCAGTTGCCCCCTGGACAAAAACTCAACAATATTTGGGAATTATCAACAATATCGTACATTATTGGATAAAGTGCTAAAGATGTCAGTCTGGAGGCTAAGATGCACCTGATTCAGGCCATGGTCTTCACAATTACTTGCTATGCATCAAAGAGCTGGACAATTACTAGGATGACAGGAGAAGAATCAATGCCTTTGAGTTGTGCTGGAGAAGAGTCTTGGGCATCCCATGGATTGCCAGGAGAACAAACAGATTATCTTGTCCTGGAGAGGGTAAAACCAGGCTGTTCCTTGGAGACAAGGATGTTAAAGCTCTGCCTCACATACTTTGGACATGTGGCCAGAAAGGCCTAGTCTGTGGAGACAGACATCACGCTTAGAAGGGTAAAGGGACAGCACAGGAGAGAAAGATCCCAGGGTGAGATGGAGTAAATGTGTAGGCAGGGAACTCCTAGAAATTCAATCTGGCTTCAGGCTATGGCACAAAGAATATCATTACTGATGTCAGATGGATCTTGGTTGAAAGCAGAGAATACCAGGAAGATGCTTGCTTGTGTTAATATTGACTATGCAAAAGCATTTGATTTTGTGGATCATAACAGATTATAACTAAAATTAAAAGAAAGAATCCCAGAACACTTAATTGTACTCATGTGAAACCGATGCATAAATCAACAAGCAGTTGTTTGAACAGAACAAGGGAACACTACATGGTATAAAATCAGGAAAGGTTTGTGTCAGAGTTGTAACCTTTCTCTATATTTATTTAATTTGAACTATATGAAGAACAATGTGGCATCAAGATTGGAGGAAGACTCATTAATAACCTGCATTATGAAGGTATCACAACCTTGCTTGCAGAAAGTGAACAGGACTTGAAGCAGAAGATCAAAGACCACAGCCTTCTATATAGGTTATATTTCAATATCAGGAAAACAAAACCTCCAGACCAGAAGACAAGATTATGATGTTGTTATTCTGACTTCATGTATTGCCAAAATAACAAACAGAGTTGCTTGTGACTCATAGCGACCCTATGTACAACAGCTCTGAACACTTCTCTATCCTGAGCCAACCTTATTGTTTCTGGCACACCTAGCCCTGTTACTCCAGCCACTAAGTCAATTCATCTCATCAAGGGTCTTCCACTCTTGCACTGTCCTTCCACCCTCCCAAGCACTATGTCCCTCTCCAATGACTAGTTCTTCCTTGCAACATGCCCAAAGTATGTCAGGTGGAGGTTCGGAATGTCTGCCTCCAAGGAGCAGCCTGGTTTCACCTTCTTCTGGATGAACTTGTTTGTTCTCCTAGGTATATTCAAGACTCTTCTCCAGTACCACAACTCAAAGGCATCAATTCTCCTTTTATCATCCCTAGTCATTGTTCAGCTCTCTGATGCATAGCAAGTAATTGTGAAGGCCATAGTCTGGATCATGCACATCTTAGTCTCCAGACTGACATCATTGCTCTTCAGTACTCTGGAGAGGTCCCTGACAACAGACTTTCCCAATGCAATTTGTCTTTTGATTTCCTGGATGCTGGAACCAAGAGTATTGATTGTGAAGCCAAGCAACTGAAGTTGTTAACAATCTCAGTCTCTTCACCATCTATCATGATTTGGTCCAGTGATGAGAATCTTTGTTTTCTTGATATTGAGCTTCAGTCCATATTTAAGGCTGTAATCCTTCACCTTTTGTACAAAAATGCCCCAGGTCCTCCTCAGTTCAGCAAGATGATAATATTGTTGTTGTTGTTGTTATGTGCCGTCGAGTGGCTTGCGACTCATAGCGACCCTAAGTACAACAGCCCTAAACTCTGCTCTGTCTTGTGCCAATCACACTGTCTCTGAAACTCCCATCCCGATTATCCCAATCACTGAATCAATCCACCTCATAGAGGGCCTTCCCCTCCTGCGCTGTCCCTCCACCCGCCCAAGCATGATGTCCTGCTCCAAGGACCAGTCTCTCCTCACAACATGTCCAAAGTATGTTAGACGGAGCCTCAGAATCCTTGCCTCCAAGGAGCCACCCGGTTTAACCCTTTCCAGGAGGAATCTGTTTGTTTTCCTAGCAGTCCATGGTATTCTCAATACTCTTCTCCAGCACCACAGCGCAAAGGCATCAATCCTCCTTGGTCATTGTCCAACTCTCTGATGCATAACAAGTGATTGTGAAGACTATGGTCTGTATCAAACACACCTTAGTCTCCAGAGAGACACCATTGCTCTTCAGTACTTTGGAGAGGTCCCTAACAGCAGACTTTCCCATGGCAATGCGCCTTTTAATTTCCTGGCTACTGGTGCCAAGAGTGTTGACTGTGGAGCCAAGCAAACTAAAGCTGTGAACAATCTCAATCTCTTCACCATCCATCCTGATGCTGCCAATTGGTCCAGTGGTGAGAATATTTGTCTTCTTGACATTGAGCCTCAATCCATATTGGAGGCTGCAGTCCTTGACCCTCTGCCCCAGATGCTTCAGGTCCTCCTCAGTTTCAGCAAGCAGGGTTGTGTCATCCGCATAACGCAGATTGTTGATAAACCGTCCACCAATCTTGACCCCACATTTCTCCTCATAGAGCCCAGACTCCCGGATAATCTGTTCTGCATACAGGTTGAAAAGGTACGGAGACAGGACACATCCCTGGTATACGCCCTTCCCAATTTTGAACCATGCAGTGTTCCCTTGCTCTGTTCTGACAACTACCTCCTGGTCCAAGTATAGGTTTTGCATTAGAACGATGAAGTGTTCTGAGATTCCCATTCTTCTCAGAGTCAGCCACAGTTTGTCATGATCCACACAGTCAAACGCCTTTGCATAGTCAATGAAACACAGATAGACAAAAGATGATAATAGATGGAGAAAATACTGGAGTTGTCAATGATTTCTTTTTACTTAAATCCACAATCAACACCCATATTAATAGCAGTCAAGAAATCAAAGGACATGTTGCATTGGAGAAAACTGCCATCAAGGACCTCTCCAAAGTGCTAAAGAGCAAGGATATCAGTTTAAAGATGAAGGTGCACCTGATTGAAGCTATGGTATTTTCAATTACTTCCTATACATCTGAAAGTTGGACAATGAATAAGGAAGATTGGAGAAGAATCTATGCCTTTGAATTATGGTGTTGGAGAAAAATACTGAAATATCTCATATTGTTGGCAGGTTCTATCAAGTCAAGTTTGACTCAAAGTGACCCTATGAACAGCAGATCTGAACCCTGATGTACCCTGTGCCATCCTCACAATCTCTGACATACGTGAGCCCACTGCTGCAGTCACTATGTCAACCCATTCGGCTGAGGGTCTACCTCTCTTTTACCATCTCTCCACCTTTCCAACCTTTCCCCTCCAAGGAGTAGCCTCTCCTAGCAACATGTCCAGAGTGAGCTGAAGCTTTATAATCTTTGCCTCTAAGGAGTACTCTGACTTCATGTACTGCCAAAATAACAAACAGATCTGTCTTGAAGGAAGCACAGCAAGGATGCACTTCAGAAGCAAAGATGCTTAAACTCACTCACATACTTTGGATATGTCAGGAGAAGCCAGTCGTTGGGAAAAGACTTTATGCTGGAAAATGTTGAAGGTCAGAGAAAGAGAAAAAATCCTCAACAAGATGTATTAACACAGTGACTGTAATAATTGGCTCAATCCATCAGAGATAGTGAGATCGGCACAGGATAAGACAAGGTTCGGATATGCTGTTCATAGAGTCACTATATATTGCAGTTGACTTTAGAGCACCTAACAAAACTAGAAATAGAAATTCTATTTCAAACTTAAGGAAGTCCATAAATATTATGTGATTTGCCTAACATCACTCAGAAAAGCAATTGTGGGGTCTTCATAAAGAGAAAGTAAAATCTCATCTTGAGCCAGTTTTTGGAGATGACTCTGTTAGAGGAGAAAGGAACTCAGCAAGCATGTGTTAGATTTCTCCATCTCTGTACTTATAAAGGTGTATAAAGAAAAAACAACTGCTCCTACTTCCCACATCCCATACCTTTGATGTGCTATATATTCAAGTTGGTATGTCTTTTCCATTAATCTACGTATGTCCTACCTTCAAGGGGTCCAACAGACCTGCCTCCCATGCCTGTCACCAAACCACTTCAGATGGTACCACGAGGCTCTCAGTTATATCCAGCACAACAAGCAGATGTTTATTACCAGGATCCTCGAGGAGCTGCTCCACTATTTGAACCCACACCTTATCAGCAGGGTATGTACTATACTCCACCACCTTGTGTGTCCTGCTTTGTTCGGCCTCCGCCATCTGCTCCTGAACCTGCTCCTCCTTACTTGGATCATTATCTGCCCTACCTCCAAGATCGTGGTGTAAATTCCCATTATGGCACACAACCACAGCAGTACCCACCTATGTATCAGCCACACTATGACAACCATCGCCTATACCCTGCTCAGTCTTATACAAGAGAGGAGATCTTTCGAGAAAGTCCTATACCCATTGAAATTTCACCTGCAGCAGTACCATCTTATGTTCCAGAATCCAGAGAAAGATATCAACAGATAGAGGGTTACTATCCAGTGGCTCCTCATCCCTCTCAGATCAGACCTTCATACCTCAGAGAGCCTCCTTATAGCCGGCTTCCACCTCCTCCCCAGCCTCATCCTAGTCTAGATGAATTGCATCGCAGAAGAAAGGAAATAATGGCCCAGCTAGAGGAAAGAAAAGTCATCTCTCCACCTCCTTTTGCACCTTCACCAACATTGCCTCCTACCTTCCATCAGGAGGAATTTTTAGATGAAGACTTGAAGATAGCTGGGAAATACAAAGGAAATGATTATAGCCAATACTCTCCTTGGTCTTGTGACACCATTGGTTCCTACATTGGAACCAAAGATGCAAAACCCAAAGATGTGGCAGCAGGAAGTGTGGAAATGATGGTCACCCTTCTTTGGAATGGGAGCAAATATCAGTCTCTTCCAGTCAGTTGTCCAGGTGGCTGTCCTCCAGATATCATGGCATACTTGAATGTGGACAGTAAAGGAATGAGAGACCAGAGGTTGGATCTTCAGAGAAGAGCAGCAGAAACCAGTGATGATGACCTCATCCCATTTGGAGATCGACCAACAGTATCTCAGTTTGGTGCCATCTCTCGAACTTCCAAAACAATATATCAGGGTGCTGGTCCAATGCAGGCTATGGCACCTCAGGGAGCTCTCACAAAGTCCATTAACATTTCAGATTATAGTCCATATGGAACCCATGGTGGCTGGGGAGGCTCCCCGTATTCACCTCATCAAAACATACCTTCTCAGGGACACTTCAGGGAGAGGGAGAGAATGTCAATGTCAGATGTGACCAGTCATGGAAAACCCCTTCCATCTGCTGAGAGAGAACAGCTACGACTAGAATTACAGCAACTGAACCATCAGATCAACCAACAGACCCAGCTACGTGGACTAGAGGCTGTTAGTAACAGGCTGGTGTTGCAGAGGGAGGCGAACACACTGGCAGGCCAGCCACAACCTCCACCACCAACTCCAAAATGGCCTGGAATGATCTCAAGTGAGCAGTTGAGCTTGGAATTGCACCAAGTGGAAAGGGAAATTGGGAAGAGAACTCTAGAACTCAGTATGGAGAACCAGTGTTCTCTAGACATGAAAAGCAAACTGAGTACCAGTAAACAAGCAGAAAATGGACAGCCAGAATCACAAAACAAGGTTCCAGCTGAGGACCTTACATTGACATTCAGTGATGTACCAAACGGATCAGCCCTGACACAAGAGAATATCAGCCTCCTATCAAACAAGACCAGCTCCCTGAACCTAGCAGAGGACCCCGACGGAGGAGGGGATAACAATGACGCCCAAAGATCAGGAGTTACACCAGTTCTGCTTCCTAAAATGTGAAGAGTCCTACATTAAAAAAAAAAAGAAAAGAAAAAGAAATTACTCACAAGTGGTAATTTTCATGTACCAGAATCTAGCTGGCTGTCCAGGAGCATGCCTTGTGGCCCCAGAGGCAGAGGTGAGTCCCACCATAAGCTCCCCTGCCCCATATAAGAGAATATTTTCTTCTGGAAGAAGCTATCACCTCACAAGGAGAGGACTATCTGAGGGGAATGAGTTTCCCATCTATAGTGGTGTGCAAGTAGAGTCTGGACAGGTTTTACCAAAGAAGTTGCAAAGAAGATTAGGCTGGTATGGAAAGTAAATAAAGAAAGGCAACTCAAAGATTCCTTCTACTTGAAAATTAAATAATCTCTTCTTTCCTTAACAAATAAGGTTTAGCTGTTTTACAGCAGGTCCTGTATGGGATTAGAATACAGGGAATTCTGCTCAAAACTCAGGGTTACAGAGGGAAAGTAAGGGACTTGTGAGAAAGGTAGGGTCATATGGGACCCTCAACTTGCCCTACTTTTCCCAGAACAGGGTTTGAAGATGAAGATGAACTAAAAAATATCTCTTCCCTTCAGAGACCCAAATGGGGGAGAAGGAGACTCAGAACCACTTAAAGCCAATCCATGACCCAGATTCACTGTAATTAACGAGCCCACGTCACTGTTGTGTTGGCTTCTGATCAACAACGTCTCCCCAACCCTAGTCCAGCTCTCTGGTATGAGAAGATTAAATCAATTAGGAGGAGGAGGAGATCTGGCTGGCACTGGTTTGGGGCAGAGGATAATTCACTTACATAACAGGGATTGAGGTTTGGGCTTGGTCCTCCAGGAGCAGGGGTAGATTCCAGACCCTGTGGAAGGGGTCTTCAGACTTTCAGGGTGAATGTAGGGGAGGATAACAGTGACTTCAGAGAAAGGCTCCATCCTCTATGTTCCTGCTAGAAATGAAACCCCACTCTCTGAACTTGGAGAGGACCAAAGTGTAAAATCACTATCTTGTCTTTAAATGGCATGTCCCAGAGTCATTCAGTAATGCAAATCTGGCTAAGCCATTCTCCTTAGCCTGGTATTCAAGGCCCTACAGTCTATTCAGGTATCTTTCTGTTTCCAAAAGGTGGTGTGAGTAGAGGGGAAATTACATCCTGATAGTCCGTTGGTGCCAAGTCATGGTGAAGCATTGAAGGGATGGAGGGATGGGCGCAGTTCTTTAAGAAATAGTGCCTAATAGTGGATGCACAGCATAACACTCTGTACTAAGTGGTATAAATAGGCCTGCATAGATGGGGAAAGGGGGAACAGATGAGGTAGGCTTTCCAAGGCCAGTCCAAGAAGCTTCCCAGAGGAGGCAGTATTTGTACTCACGGAGCCTTAAAGGAAGGAGAGATGAGTGGGAGTTCATCAAGCTGGCCTGATTGAGGAAGAGCTTTGGGTGGAGGGAACAGCATGTACAAAGGCATACTGGGTGAGACAGTTTGGCACACATTCAAGGAACTATGAATAGTTCATGTGCACGTAGCCTAGAGTTTCAGGCAAGGACGAGGGGGGATGAGAAATGAGTGGTATTTGGGCCTATGTTTTGCTCATTGATGACATGCCAAGGAAGTAATAAGGCAACTATTTCAGAATCTCTGATTAATCCATGCTTCCTGGGATTGATGGTGTTAGGCCCTGTGCTGGAACTGAGGTGGAGTCAGGTAGGGATGGATATGAGGGAACAGAGATAAATCTGACTCAAGCTCTATACTTCAGTAGTTCTAAAAGGACATATAAATATTCCTCCTTCTCTCTTGCCTCCGAGTGAGATTCAACCTCCAGGATGCACATTTCTGAGAGGTAGGGCTTGGTTTGTCTCAAGAATGAGGATGCTCAAGCAAAGGGGCATCTCAGGCCATGGGCAAAAAAGTAAGCTGGCCTATGAGGACTTGGTGAATGCATCGCCAAGAGTTTGTTGTTATTGTTGTTATGTGCCATCAAGTTGCTTGCGACTCATAGTGACCCTATGTACAAGAGCCCTAAACGCCGTTCTATCCTGTGCCAACCTTGCCGTCTCGAACCACTCGTTCCCACCACTCCACTCACAGAATCAATCCATCTCATCGAGGGTCTTCCTCTCCTGCACCGTCCCTCCACTCTACCAAACATGATGTCCCTCTCCAAGGACCAGTCCCTCCTTGCAACATGCCCAAAGTGTGTCAGACGAAGCTTCAGAATCCTTGACTCCAAGGAACATTCCAGTTTCACCTTCTCCAGGACAAATCTGTTTGTTCTCCTAGCAGTCCATGTTATATTCAACACTCTTCTCCAGCACCACAGCTCAAAGGCATCAATTCTCTTTCTGACATCCCTATTCACTGTCCAACTCTCTGATGCATAGCACGTAACTGCAAAGACTATAGCCTGGATCAGGCACACCTTAGTCTCCAGCTTGACATCATTGCTCTTCAGTACTCTTGAGAGGACCCTCACAGCTGACTTTCCCAATGCAATTCATCTTCTGATTTCCTGGCTGCTGTTACCAAAAGTGTTGACCGTGGAACCAAGTAAACTAAAACTGTTAACTGTCTCAATCTCTTCATCTTCCATACTGATTCTGCCAATTGGCCCAGTGGTGAGAATCTTTGTTTTCTTGATGTTGAGCTTCGATCCATATTGAAGACTGCAGTCCTTGACCTTCTGCAGCAAGCGCTTCAGGTCCTCCTCAGTTTCAGCAAGCAGGGTTGTGTCATACACATAACACAGGTTGTAGATGATTCTTCCACCAATCCTGATGTCACATTCCTCCTCATACAGCCCAGCGTCTTGGATGATCTGTTCTGCATACAGATTGAAAAGGTATGGAGACAAAATAGATCCCCGAAGGACCCCCTTCTTGATTTTGAACAATGTAGTGTCTCCTTGCTCTGTTCTGACGACTGCCTCTTGGTCCAAGTATAGGTTTCGCATTAGCACAGTCAAATGTTCTGGGATTCCCATTCTTCTCAGAGTCAGCCATAGCTTGTTGTGATCCACACAGTCAAAAGCCTTTGCATAGTCAATGAAGCACAGATAGACATTCTTCTCATATTCTCTGCTATCTTTCAAGATCCATCTAACATTAGCTATAATATCCCCAGAACCACGACCTCTTCTAAATCCAGCCTGCACATCTGGCAGTTCTCTGTTGGCATATTGTTCCAAACGTTTTTGGATAATCTTCATCAGAATCTTGCTTGCTTGTGATATCAATAATATTGTTTCATAATTTCCACAATCTGTTGGGTCACCTTTCTTTGGAATGGGAAAAAATATTTATCTCTTCCAAAAGTTTACTATCCACAAATCTTCAAGCACCTCTGTAAGTTATATTTTACATTTTACAGCTGAATAAACTGAGGTCCACAGATGTGAAATAACTTTCCCAAGGTAATTAAATCAGTAAATGATGGGACCAGAATTGGAATTAAAAACCCACAATCAACCCCAGAGTCTTTGAGTCTATTCCAAATCATGGTGATCTTCCACTGAGTTTCTAAGGCTATATATCAGTACAAAAAGAACCTGCCTCTCTTACTCCTATAGAGTGGCTGTTGGATTTGAACCCACACATTTGGGTTAGCAGTCTCACATGTAATCTACTATTACATCAGGGCTCCTTAATCTAGGTTTGCTATATTGATAACAAGAAGCTATCTTGGGGGAGCTCTGGTGGCCTAGTGGCAAGAAGCTGCACTGCAATTCCAGAGGCGCATGGTTCAAATCCACCAGATGCTCTGCTGGGAAAGGAGGGACAATCTCCTCCTATACCAGTCAGATCTGATTTGACAGTACACACACACAAAAAAAAAATAATAACATAATAATAATAATAATAAATTTTTAAAAAGATGCTATCTTGGGGGACACCAAAGTACACAGACATAACATAGTCCACAAAGGCAATGTTTTACATCCTATGTTGGTGAGTAATGATGGAAGTCTTAAAAGTTTTCAAGTTGTCATCTAACGTGCAACTATTGATCTCTCCCTTTCCATAAAAGAGAGATGAAAAGTACAGAAGTATGTTGTTGTTGTTGTTGATTGCCTTCAAGTCAAGCATGACTCATCGTGACCCTATGAACAAAAGGCCTGAAGCCCTTCTACATCTATCGACATTTATCAGAGTTCATAGAGTTCTGTAGGCATGTTATTTAGGAAGTGGATGACACCTATGCTTCCAATCATGTCATAGTATGTTATTGTTTTTATGTGCCACTGAGTTCTTGCAATGTATAGAGACCCTATGTACAGCAGCTCTGAACCCTTCCTTGTCCTCAGCCAGTCTCCCTAATTCCAACACACCAACCCCCATTGACCCAGTTACTGTATCAATCCATCTCATGCAGGGTCTCCCTCTCCTGTGCTGTCTGTCCACCCTTCCAAACATGATGTCCTTCTCCAAGAACTGATCTCTTCTGGCCATGTGCCCAAAGAAAGTGAGGTGGAGTTTCAAAATTCTAGCCTCCAAGGAAAAACTTGGTTTCACCCTCTCCAAGACAAACCTATTTGTCTTTTTAGCAGTCTATGGTATGTTCAAGACTCTTCTCGAGCACCACAACTAGAACAGAAGAATAGAAGCAAATAATATAAAGAACTAATAGACCATGTTAACCTCAAGGTCCACTTCTTGAGACCAAAAGAACTAGATGGTGCCTGGCTACCACTATGAACCACTTTCAAAGAGTCCACAGTATGAGGTTTTAGAGTAGAGAGAAATGTGGAACAAAATTTTAAAATATTTTAAAAGTACAGGCTTATTGGACTGAAGAGATTGTTGGAACCCTGGAGACTGTGATAGTCAGTCATCCTTTGAACTTTTGGTTCAACTTACAGTCAAACAATAAACAGGACTATAAGGTAACCAATAACACTAGGGAAACAGTCATTCCTTAGAATAGACAGCAACAATATAAAGTCAGAAATCAGCATTTGACCAAGGATAAAGTCCAGAAGAGTGGTTGTTGTTTTTGTTAGTTGCTGTTGAGTCAAGTAGAT